CTGTAAGTACATTATCAATGAACACTGTATACACAGGTTTAGTTTCTTTTCTGTAACTTCCTCCCTAAGGGTACCCCATGATGTCACTGATCCACTAAACCCACAGCTATACGGAACAGTGAATGAGCTGTCAGTTTCTAAGGCAGCTCGGGCCTGAAATGCACATACTGAAGCTCATAGCAATGAATAAGCTGTTTCTGAATTTTCAGTAGCTCAGAGGCTCTCAGCCTTTCTGGTTCTCCGTGAATCTTTTAGGACTACGCTTCACCTGTTAAACACCAACTACTCTGTATGTTGTTTTTGACGGCAGCATGGTAGCCCGGGGGGAAATGGCACGATTTTGGAGTCTGGAGAGCCTTCAGATGGGTATGTGTGAGTAGAAGATGCACTCCCTTTATTTCTCTGTATTATTTCTGATTTACAATTATGAAGTGTTACCATCACTGGGCTTGATTCTGATCACACTTATGTTTTTGTAAATAATGTAAACTCCATGACAGACAACAGAGTTACACCAGTGGAAAGCTGGATAGAGATCAGAATCAGGCCCACATTGTCTTGCAATCCATTAGAGCTACAGGGATAATCCATCCCAATCTGTAAAATATTTACTCCTGCCGGTAAACATTAGAGGAATGGAAACAGAGAGCAAGTGATTATTTTTTTTAATCTAGCTACCGAGGTAATAGAAGCATCTTGACTGGTATGGAATAATGAGCAGTTACAAGCCCAAAAATTATATTCCTTTTCCATCGTTCATTAAATGTTTTAGAGTATTTATGTTACTATCTTGCTGCAACAAACCAGTTGTTAGTACTGCCATTACAATGCAACTGTAAAAATGAGACAGAGGATGACATTTACCACTGAAGACTTTAGGCTAGAAGCTGATTTTGTGTATTATTTACATACAGATTTTCAGAAAAGAAATGTTAGCAAATTTAAAATTACAGAAATATGTTTTTCAAAAGTTGTTTTAGTTTTCAGATTTGTAACCCTATGATGGAGAGATCTCAACTTTTTAATAGGAATTTTGCCTCCTTGATTAGCTCTATGATGATATTAATATGAATGTGTGTTTTAAAATGTTTTGGGTTGGGTAGAATAACTATATTGTTTTATGTCAAGATTAAGGGAAATATTGTGTACTTCTAAGAAAGCAAGCCACAAGGTAAATGTTTTTAGCTGACTTCTGCATTCTGTGGCTTTGATTACTCTAGAAAAATTAGTAACCATATCACAGGAAATGTTTGTAAGGGTGCAAGTGTAAGCACTAAGACTATGTCTAGACTGCAAGATTTTTGCGCAAAAACACCTATACCTCAAATGCGCTTTTGTGCAAGTAAATTGGCAGTAAAACGTCAGAACAGAGGGCTTTTTCCAGTGTAGGTAAACCTCCTTTTAGGAGGCATAACTCCCTTTTGCACTACAGTTACAGCACAAAAAGGCAAGTGTGGATGCTCCGCAAGGGTTTCTTGTGCAAATAGAGCCTATCCAAAAAAGCACAGGTGCTCTGATGGCCATTCTGTGAATGGCCATCAGAGCTTTCTTGTGCAAGAGTGTCCATGCAGTGTGGATGCTTTCTTGCGCAAAAGCACATCACAAAAGCGATGTGCTTTGAGGTGTGGACGTGCTTTTGTGCAATAAGTTTTTGCGCAAGAACTCTTCCGCAAAAGACTTCTTGCGCAAAAACCTTGTAGTGTAGACATAGCCTAATATAGACAGGACTGTCTATACTGTCATGAAAACCTATGAGTTACTCTGTTCAGATCATCGGCCTAGGATCCAAAGCAAGGCAAGCCTCTCAAGTAGAGGTGGCTGGGAACTTTTTGACTGACTGGCTTTTTCTCAAAAAATGCTGGTTTGTCAAAAACATAACTTTTTGTGGAAATGTATCATTTTTGACAAAAATTTTGCTAGGGATGTTTTTCAGGTACAAGAAGGAATTTCTGGTCAAAATAAGTGTTAGAGAGGGAGACATCCAACCTAGAATAGCCAATAGACTGCTAGTTACGCCATTCACTCATGATATAGAAGACCCAGATTTAAGTCCCTCTTCCAAATCTTTCGGAGAAGGGACTTGAGCCTGGGTCTCCCAGGACAAACATGAGTGCCATAATCTCCTCACCCTTTTTGCTTTTGTGTGTGTGTGAGAGAGAGACACACAGATAGATATATCTATAGATATAGATATATATCATAATCTCTTGGTTTCATCCCAGTGCAGAATGGCGAAATCTTTTTTGAAACTTGAACACATTAATGGGAAGGAAGACCATTTCCTGCCCTGCTCTGCTTCTTTCTCCCTATAGGATTACATTGTAGGCCATCTGCATGGGCACCCCTTCAGGAAATCTAGCCCTGCCTCCACCTATTCTGCTCAAGGACCTGCCCCTTCCATTCCTACCCCTGAGAACCCTGAGCCCTCCCTCCCGCACTACGGCTAGAGAAGCCTCAGGCCATCAGTCCGAGCTTCCCCCAGCCACTGGCTGGCCCACTCTAGTCATGTTGGTTGATCCAAGCACCAGCCTACCTGCCCTAGTTGCCCGATCCCTGGACCTCTGGCTGGACCAAGCATTGCCCTGACTCATGGGCCAGTCTGAACATTAGGTAGGCTGGTCAGGTGTCCAGTTTTTGACTGAAACACCGAGTCAAAACAGGAGTGTGGTGGTTCCAGGCAACATGCTTACCAGACTGTTAAATGTCTGGTTGGTGGCACTGCTGGTCAGTGGGACTGGCAGGCTCTCTACTCAGCTCTGCACAGTTCCTGGACGTGGCCAGCATTTCCCTCATGCTCTATGCCTTAGGCATAGGGAAGCCATGGGTGCTCTGCATACAGGCATTGCAGCTCTTATTGGCCAGGAACCACTGCCAACAGAAGCTACAGGGGCAGTACCCCTGTGACCAGGGGTATCATGCAGAGCTCCATGACTGCACATTTGCCTAAAAGTGGAAGGGACATGCTGGCCACTTCTGGGAGCTGCCTGAAGTAAGCTCCGCCCAGAGCCTGCACACCTTGCTCCTTCCGAGACCCTCCTTCAACACTCCAGAATTCTCAGACCCCCTTCCTGCACCCCAAACTGCTCATCCCAACCCCCATCCCAGATTTTGCACCCCCAGCTGGAGTCTTCACACCCTCTCATGCTCCAGCGTTCTGACCCAGCCTTGTGAAAATGAATCTATGAGCCAGGGTAGGGCAGAGCAGTGATAGAGGGAGTGGAAATAGAGTGAGAGAGGTGATGGGGTCTCAGAAGAGACAGGGCAGAGATGGGGCCTTGGAGAAGGGGCTGGACACAGCAAAGCTGTTCAGTTTTTTTCAGTTAAAATGTTGGCAACCCAAACACCGGCTACTTGCTGGGCTGAGCTTCTCTGACTTTTTGAGCTCTGAGCTCAAGGCCACGAGCTCAAGCTGAGCTCCTGTTGTCTTCAGGAGAGAGGAAGAATCATGGACAGGGCTACAGCTTGGTTTAGGAGAGGCTCACCTTGTCTTTTTTTCCTACCATTCATGGTCATCTGCGTATGAGTCACATAAAGACTAGGCCCAGATTTTTAAAGGTATTTAGGCATCACTGTGCTCAGAATTGCAATGCCCAAGTGTCATTTTCAAAAAATTCAGGCACTAATGAGCCTAAATTATTTTTGACAAGTCAGTGGGATTAAGGATCCAAAGTGCCTATCTCGTTTGAAAATTAATGTAAGCACCTAAATCAGGTAAGCATTACAATGCTGAGCTCAGCAACACCTAAATACTTTTAAAAATCTTGGCCTAAGTTCTTTCCCCTGAATCAGGGGCCCCATCAGGAAGCTATCTACCGAGCCGTGTCACGGGCCCAAAAAAGTTTTATGGTTTACCTCTAGATTTACTTCTGTGTAGATGGTTTCTTCAGTAGGGTTACTCCTGATTTGTCAGGGTGGATACGTGAGAGGAAAATCAGTTCCTGCATAACTGCTTTGTGGTTCTATTTTGAAGAGCAAAGGTACTTTCTAAGGCAGGGGTGGGCAATAATTTTTGACAGGGGCGGGGGCCACTCCAAGATTTTGGATAGTGGTTGAGGGCTACACTCTTCCATGATATTAATGGAGGAGGTGTAGGGTCTGGGATGGAGGTTGGGTACAGAAGGGAGCTTGGGGTAAGAGATTGAAGTATAGGAAAGCGGTAGAGTGGAGTCTGGGAGGGAGTTTGGGTGAAGGCAGTTGTGACCTAGGGCAGGAGACTGGAGTGCAGGGTTTTGGAATGTGTCCTACGGCAAGAGGGGGTTGTGATCTAGGGGAGGAGACAAGGTTGCAGGAGTCTGGTTTGTAATAGGGTAAAAGGGGATCGTGATCTGGGCAGGGAATTTGGGTGCCAGATTGGGAGGGATATGGGTGCAGAGGATTTGTGTATGTTGAATTGGGGAGAAGGGGGGCAGAGAGGGGCTGGGGAGCCTGAGGCAGGCTCTGGCCAGGAGACTTATCAGCCAGCAGCCTGCCTGCCTGCAGAGCTAAATGCTAAAGAGCTTAAAAAGTTTGCCAGCCAGCCAGCCTGCCCCACTCCTACACAGGCTGCACAGTCATGTGCTTGGATGAATAACTGAGCTGAAAGGGAGGGAGCTAGTGCTTTGTGACTGACTGTTATTCAAACAGGCAGCTCCCGTTGGCCAGTTTCTGGCCAGAAGGTGGCCAGTAGGATTGTGCTGGGGGTGGGAATATGCCTGAAGCTTCCTCCCTTCCTCCTCCCCCAGTTTTTAAAGAGAAATGGCCCTGCAGCCACTTTTCTGAGCAGTGTGCAGGGCTGTGGGACAAGCAGGGAAGCCTGCTTGGGGCTCTCCACAGCATCCACGGGTCAGATCCAGCCTGAGGATTTTATTTTGCCCAGGCCTGTTCTAAGGGGTTTTGCTTTAGCATCTTGGTGGTTTTATAGTCACATTGGTTATTAAGTTGTTTTTGTATGTTTGCTCTTCCTAGAAGGATTTGATTAAACCAAATTACTCTGCTTCAAGCCTGGGTCACTTTTGTTTTAGTTGTTACAGATGGGGGAACTGAATCTTCTGCCTTAGCTGATGACAATGGCAGTGAGGAGGATTACAGTTATGAGGAACTCTGCCAAGCCAGCCCTAGATACCTACAGCCTGGAGGGGAACAGCTAGCAATTAATGAAGTAAGTGGAAGATACATTCCAGTATGTCTACTCTTTTGTTTAATGTGATGATGTTGCATGTGCTTTGTATTACAATACTCAAGTTTGGAAGTCTGAAATCCAGACCATTTTGCTACATTATCTAATTTCTCAGCTGATAACTATACAAGCACAGATTGCTCAAAATACTCTGCTCATCCTGAAACAGGTTGTATTTATCTCCTTTTTGTTTAATTATTCTTTTTTAGTTTTTGTAGCAGCCTACAAATTGGTCTTTGGTCATTGCGCTTTTTGTCCTTCACCAACTCTTTTTATCTCCATTTCAGCTGATATGTGATGGCAGCATGGTCTATGCTGAAGCACTGTGGGACCATGTGACTATGGATGATCAAGAGCTAGGCTTTAAAGCTGGGGATGTCATCAGAGTCCTTGAAGCTTCCAACAAGGACTGGTGGTGGGGAAGAAATGAAGACAAGGAAGCCTGGTTTCCAGCTAGCTTTGTCAGGGTTAGTAACCCATATCTACTTCTTTTGTAAAGGCAGAGTCTGATTCACCACTGCGTTACTGCAGCTTTACATCAGTTTTCCTATCAAAATGTCAGTATAACAATGGTTTGTTTTATTTTGTGAAATATATTCTCATTTAAGCACACATCTCTTCATCTCCCTGTTTCACGCTCAGTGCACCAAACCAATATTAAACTGAAATGAAGCAGTGAGTGCTCTGCTGCCTGACATTTGCAAATCGGAATTATAACTCCTTACGCCTACTTTTCACAGGCGTGAAAGACTACACAAGGGGCAGGGCAAAAGAAAATCAGGCCCCAGTATTTGTGATCTATTTGGCTACCTTTTACAGCCCTTTTGAAATCAGAGAAATGAGGGCAGAGAATCAGCTCATCATTATCACTATTATTTGGACTATGTCCTGTAGAGGTAAAGAAATCTGCACTAATACCAGTCAGGGCTGCTCAGTATATACAGAAAGAGCACAATTGTTAGGGGAGTGGAGGTGGAGACAGCTGCTCCACTCAGCATTACCTTCTGATATGTCAGGGATTTCTCTGGTAAAATAATGCCAGACCTGTCAGCTTCTTCATTTGTGGTAGTTCTGTTCATAATTTGCAACACCTTATTCACAGTTCAGACAAGAGTCTTACGACAGCGCAACTGTAGAGGGCTGGCTGTATTGTATTATTAATTATATTATAGTAGCTTCTAGAGGCCACAGCGGAAGTTAGAGCCCCAGTGGGCTAGGTGCTGTACAAACAAATTGTGAGAGACAGAGCCGCCATAGTGCATTTACCATCTAAGTAGCCATGCTGAAGATAGAGTGGGTGAAAGGAAGCATTGTTATTACCATTTCACAATAAGGAATGGCGGAAGAGAGATTAATGGTAAAAGTTTTAAAAATTCCTAAATCACTTAAGCCCAGATTTTTAAAGGCATTTAGGCATTGCAACATTGAGTAAAGCAATGCCCAAATGCCTTTTAAAATGTGAGCTTCAGGCATTCTTGAAAATACTGCTCTGAGCGATTTGTCCAATGGTACATACAGAGCTAATGGAAGAGCCGGGGCCATTAAACCCAATCCAGTGATTTAACCACATGGTCTTCTCTCCTGTCAGTTTTACCATTTGTGTGTGTGAGGTGAATAATGAACTTGATAGGACTCTAGTACAAAAATATTAAATCTGACTTCAGAAAAATGTATTTTTAACTTTAGATTGTGTGTGCAAGTGTCTCAGTTTTGGGGGGAAGGAGCGTAACTGGGAACAGGAAAAATGACTGTCACTGATTACTTCACATCAGTGTCACCTTAATGTAGCATTGAAAATAAAGTCGCAATTTATTTATTTAGGTTTTGGCAATGACTGCCTGCTCGCTACTCATGGTCTTTCTAATAAATCTGCCCTTCTATTAATTGTTACATGGTAAAAAATACAGGCTGCTCTATATGGTGGCCCTCAGATACAATGGTGATGAAAGCTTGAAACCTTTACATTAGTAGCCAGTAAAACTACTCACATAAGAGCTACATGATAGGCCTTATTTTGGAATTCTATTTATATAACCTAGAAATAGGGACCAATAATATAATAATAATCAGTATATCTGCATTATGAGCCACCTCCATTGTAATTAAATAAGTTTGTAATAGTTTTTAACATTTGTTTTTGTTACACCTTGCTGCTCTACTCTAGTTGTCTTTTCTGTTATGAATGCAGTTACGAGTTAATCAGGAAGAACTACCAGAAAATTGTGGTAGCACCCAGGATGAAGAGCAACATGTAGATCGCCAAAAAAATGCTGAAAACAAGGATCAGATGAGAACCAATGTTATACAGGAAATAATGAACACAGAGAGAGTCTACATCAAACATCTCAAGGACATCTGTGAGGTACATGTTCAAGCCATAGGACATTCCACAGGCATAATTTTCAAGTGAAAACTTTCTGTTGTCAAAAGATTCATAATTGCAATTCTAAGGCTGTCAATGAGAATGCTATCTCATGCAGTTCTCCCTATCTTATTGATACCATAATACATAACTTCCTTTAAAAAGAACACTTTGTTTCACACTTATCAATTCTTTGTTTTCCTGACTGCTATTTGAATGTTAGGGGAGAAAGTCCAGCTTACTTAGTGTTCGTACATAACTAAATTCATGGAATAATATCTATTTACATTTCAGTGATTGAACATTTTGAAGGTAGCCTGCAGAGAAATGAAAACTTGGGTTTGTGCTTATTTCTGCTTGTTTATTATGTAATCCTATTTATGTAATATTTTTTAAAAATATTCTGCTTGTTTAAACTGCAGAAATAGCAGTCGCATCAAGATTTTCCTTCCTTGTTTTTGCTGGAGTTTTCTTGGAGGAACAAAGACTTATAAAGTAGGAGCTTTCTCATACCTTAATTCAAGTTTGAGCCTTTAACTATGAACATTTTTCTCCCAAGCATCAGTTGAATGTTGGAGTTAGGTAAAAAAGAACAATGAAGGAGGGTCAACAGCCTGACAGAAAATTCCTTCTCCTTTCATTTTGTTAGATTTTACTTTCTTTATGCTTGTGATGTCATATTCCTATTAGTTCTCCAGTCATACATAGAATCTTCTAGGAAAAACAAAGATAATAAGAGCTTGCACTTCTAATGAGGAAAACAGGCAGACTGTTTTTATCAGGCCTTCTTAATACATTCTAAATAAATGAAACAAAAGCAGCTACCCATTTCTTCTTTTTAGATCATCTGTAAAAAAAAAAATCTTAAATGTCAGCTCCTTGATCAAGATCATCATTAGGATACACTTTTTATCTATGCCAGAATAAGTGTAATTAAGTCTTTAGGGCATTAACTATAAAAGGTAAGGGAGGAATTTTTACCAGCCATGTGTGTCTTAGACACATTTAGCTTGATTCATGGTGAGTGAATTTTATCTTCCACTGAAGCATCCACTGTTAGAAGAATATCAGATTGACTAGACCGATGGTTTTGTATCAAAATGACAGATCTTGTGGTGTTTTATGAGTGCAAGAATTTATCTCCCTGACTTGCCTTCAGTCTTCAGACTAGCTCCAGACTTGCCACTTCTACGAGTTTTTCTTTCCGGTACCATTCTGTAGCTCCAGCTACCAATTTCTATTTTGGTATTTTCTGTGGAGAGTGTAGATATTTTTTTCTAGAGATGAAGTTGTACTTCACAAAAACCAGCAACCAATTTTAGCTTTCATTGGCTAAACTCTGTTGCTGGGATGCATCAGTACACTGATATTAATTCTTAGAAATCACCAAACCAGTTCATCTATAGCTTTTTAAAAATAGAGTGGTGGTGCATTTAGTGGACCAGTGCTAATTTGCATGTTTTCCAAGGGGAATAAATGGTTCCCATCGTCAGCACAGAGGGCAGAGGTGGCAGAGTGAATCACTCAAGGCTGTGCAAGTTGGACTGTGAGGCTGGTGGTGTGCTTACATGTGGGTCTGAGTCAGTGAAAATTACTCCAGACACTGACCCAAGTTAGAAGATCTGCACAGGAGATCGCTTCCCTTGTGGGAGTCTGTGCAACAAAGCAATAGGCAAAAAACACCAAATTGGCTTACAGTGGTCCCCATGGCAGCCATGGCGCCTGCTGGGGCATTTATGTGCGCCTGCCAAGTGACCAGGGGCAGCTCAAGCCATTCTTGCGCCCTGGGCCCTGGGTATGTGGCACATGCGTGGTTCTGCCCCTGGACGCACGGCACATGAGCGGCCCTGCCCCCAGGCACCTGGCAGCCCCAAAAGGTTGGGGACCACTGGCTTGCAGCATTGTCACGGCGCACTTCCCTTAACAAACGGGTTAGGGAGGTAGAAACATGCATAGTAGTGCCCAGCAGTACTTAGCAATGGTATTCAGAAACCTCCAGAAGTCTGCTTGAAACTTGTTACCTGTCGCTGTAGCCATTACAAGCTTTTTGGAGTTACCAGTTCACTGGGAGGTCTGGGACCAAGATGCCTGACAGTATCCAAAGATATAGACCTGGCAAACATCTCCTAGCACACACTTGAACCTCAGTGCTTATGTGTATCTGGGTGCCATACCCTATTGTATGTGCAGCGGATGTTTTCTGGCAGCCATTGTAGAATACTATATCCCATTCTCAGCAGATGTTTGTGGGCTTACCATATGTACCTCCCTGTTATTGATCATATGCCTCTCCCAGACGTGTCAGAACCTGACCCTTTAGTGCAGCAGAACCCTAATCCTTTCTCTTCCTCCTGACTACACAGTTGTTTATATTACCTGTCTTTGGTAATCAGTGCAGAGTAGAAGTTACTTCAAGTGCATTGTGGAGCTGGAGCATGGTAACATATTTATATAGAGACTGAGCCCATATATGGTATTTACATATAGACCTAAAGAGAGAGAAATATTTGTCAATGGAACATTTGGGTTTTAAGGTAGCAGTCATTCCATTACCCATATGGTCCTGTCCATGCTATAGGTTTGACCATGTTTAAGTACTGTTTAACCACAGTAGCATCTCAAGCACGTTATAACAAGATTTAATCTTGCCTGTGTGGCTGGGACCAAGCCTTGAAATATCCAGTTTAGAGAACCATGCGCTAGCCCTATCAGAGATGACCTTTAGACTATGTTATTACAGAATTTGATCTCATTTGTACTATTAAGCACTGTGACAAAACTGTTGGTGTAGGTGCTCTTCCTACCAGATTGGTAGTCATAACAGCAAGATGCAGCTCTTTTATAGCTGTTATGCAAGTGCTGATGTCTAGCTTTTTGACTAATCCACTATTGTGAAACAGAATTAGGATTGGGAGAATCAGTAACATAACTAATCAGACACAAATCTGAATTTGTAAATCCAGTTTTGTAGTGAAAACAGCCTTGAAATCAGACACCACAAAATCTAACTTTGGAAAGCCGCATATCCAATTGAGTTGCCTTGTTCAGTGCAAAATCCATTTGCAGGTTCCTGATCTCTTTCAAGTTTGATGCAAAGAGGTTTCTTACTTTGTTTTCAGGGATATATTCGACAGTGTCGGAAACACACAGGAATGTTCACCGTGGCTCAGTTAAACACCATTTTTGGAAACATTGAAGATATTTACAAATTCCAAAGAAAGTTCCTCAAAGATCTTGAGAAACAGTACAACAAAGAGGAACCTCATTTAAGTGAAATAGGATCCTGCTTTCTTCAACACGTATGTCACTTAGCTGTTTTGCTAAATAAATAAATTAAAAAATTATTAGAAAATGTTTAACTACCATGAGAGAGACACTTTAGTTCAGGGCTACTCAACTTTGGAAGCCCCAGAGGTCACAATAATACTCACAGCACATGCCAACGGCCTCAACTTAAGCGTGGTTGCATATACTTGCAAATATGTATGCAAATAGCTTATTTCACACTGACAGGCATGAATACAAAGATTAAGGCAAGATTACACAACACACAGGCCCCATTTAAGTCAGTTCTGTTGATATTAATAAAATACAATATTTACCTGATTTCCACCAATAGCACTTTTAATGAGCAATGACACTCCAGGAATATAAATGCTAAAATGCCTAACAGAAGACCATTATATTGATTACTTTTTTGCTTTGGCTCCCACCCGTGGGCCACATGTTGACCCCACATAAACCCAAACTGCACTGCAACCCACGGAACTGCGTGTAGAGTAGCCCTGTTTTAGTTTATGCTGATCATATGATAACATTTGTTATCCCTCATCTTTTTCTACCCTCCACCCTTTGATTAGGCCTATTGTCATTGTAAGTGAAGTCTTTCCATTTTCATAGCTATGTTGATCCCAAGGTCCCAGATGAACAGGAATTTTCCAACAATCATAAGTTAAAATTTAATTGCAGACCTATGAGTGGATTTTGTTGTATGAAAACTACACTCATTGTCTTCCCAGAGAAAATATTAATCAGTCTGATTTACAAAGGTGGGAAAAGAGTTGCATGTCATTGCTAATCACCTACATACTCGCCAACTAGACTTGAGATAAAATGTGTGGCAAATAGAAATTTCACTGAAAAATGCATTTTGGAGGACTCCAAAACTATTAATGTATTTGGGTAGAACTTACTAAAAAATACTGATTTTCTTAAGTCATTTTACATTTTGTTTTCAAGTTTGGCTTGTTAAAAAAGAATCAACAAAAAGGACAGAGACCCCAAAGTGATCAAGTAGGAAAAAAAATTGTTTAGAGTCAATTCAAACATTTCAGTTGACTGAAAATGATATTTTTTCAAGTCTTTCAATTTGAAAAATCTCTAAAATAGTTGATTGGGTTCAACTTGAACTGGATTATTAATTCTTTTTAAACCAAAAAATCTTATTGCTTGCTCAGCTCAACCAACAATCTCAGGAGGCTTCCAAGTTCTAAGACTCCTCAAAGAAGACTTTACTTAAAGTGACTTTAATTATAATGATTTTGGGCAGCCCTCTGTTTCAGTATTCATAGACAACCCTTATGACTGAGAGTCACAAATCTGATGAATGTAAAGAGATATTTGGGGGGGTTCCATTTCAGAAAGCACGAAGCACTGCTAGCTAAAGCACTCCCCTGCAATCCACATGAACAGGAGTTACACCCGTTACCAGTTGCAGAATAGCTTCTCCAGTTTTTCTAAATATATTGTTACTCAGTTTGAGTGTAATTTAGCAGACGGTTAAATTAGTGTAACCAGAAGTGCTTTATAACTTCAGAGTCGATTTTTGGTTTTGTCTTTTTACAATGAATGTTTTAGCAGAAGCTTTGTTTTTTCTTTATAGCAAGAAGGTTTTGCCATCTACTCAGAGTATTGTAACAATCATCCCAGTGCCTGCATCGAGCTTTCCAATCTAATGAAACATGGCAAATACCGTCACTTCTTTGAGGCCTGCCGCCTGCTTCAGCAGATGATTGATATTGCTATTGATGGCTTTCTCCTTACACCTGTTCAGAAGATCTGTAAATACCCTCTTCAGCTTGCAGAATTACTCAAATACACCACTGAAGAGCACAGGTGAGAGAATTAAAATGATCTCTATTAGACCACAATGCTACCTTACTGCTATTGCAATCGAGGGTAGATTGGGTCAGGCAGTGACTGACCACTGGGCTCCTTAAGGTCAATGGCAAAGCTTTGTTTGACTTCAGTGGGCCAGAATTTTACCCAATATGTTTATCATCTTGGGCCTATCTGAAATATTTCAGAAACAATATACACATTAAATAGTCACCCTTGACTATAAGGGTACATCTACACAGCAGTGTTATTTTGGAATAATGTGAGTTATAGTCCACATACAGTTATTGTCAAAATAATGTCGAGTTGGAGGACTTCTTACTTCAACTCCTGTAACCCTCATTTAAGGGAAGTCGAAGGAAGAGTGCTCTTTCTCGGACTTTCTTGCTGTGTAGACAGCACCAAAAGCTGAAATAAGCTATTTTGACTTAAGCTATGCAGTTGTCGTAGCTCAAGTTGCGTAGCTTATTTTGGCTTTAGCCCTGCTTTGTAGACATGCCCTAGGAAGACTAATCTGGAGTGAGAGAAAGGAAGAAATGTATGTGAGAGAGAGAGGGACGGACGGACGGACGGATGGATGGATTAGTAAACCAAAGTGAAAAAATGCCAGCGATTCCAAAAGAAAACATACAAAAGGGATAATTGTAGGGGATAAAAGGGAAGAATTAGTAAAGAGAAGCATCTCAGGGTATATTTATACAGCAAAGAGTAATCTGCCGCTAATCTGTGCTAGCCAACTCAGACTCTCGGGGCTCAGACTCCAGGGCTGTTTCACAGCTGTGTAGACTTCCCTCTCACCCCTCAGAGTCTTAGGGCCTGGCCAACCACAGGTTTTTCTTTGCTTCGTAGAAATATCTTTAAAGATAAAAAAGGTGAAGATGGTTTCAGAAGAACAACATAAACTGAAATTGTTTATTAGTATTAAACATTGAAAAATGTATTTCGGGGGGAAAGGATACTGAAAAATCCTTATGAAACAATGTAGATTGATACTGCATGAAACAAATAAATCAAAGAGAGGAAAAAAAAGGAAAAAGAAGGAACAACCAATATCGAAAAAAGACTAAATAATTTTAAATCATTTTACAGAATAATGTTGCAAAATGTATTAATAAGAAATATACAGACTAAATAAATTCATCGTTACCCTCTTCAGTGTAGGAAACAACCCTAGACATGGGGATTTACTCAGGCAAAACTCCCTGTGACTTTAGGACAAACGCTGTTTGACCCAGAGTAAAACTGAATATTTTGGGGTGATCTAACAGTCATTCATATATGTGGATTAGGGATGTTGAAGGTTAACCGATAAGCATATGCCTTAATGGCATGCTTAAGGATTAACTGCAGGTCCCCTCCCATCCCCTCCAGGCTGATCCAGCCAACAGAACCCCAGCTGCGATGAACAGTGGGGCCAGAACAGCCGTCAGCCCACAGGGCCGGAGCAGCCCCCATCTCCTATAGCATGGCAGGGCCAAGCCAGAGCAACCTCTTCCATCTGTGGCTGTGGCGAGCTGAGGCCAGAGAGGCCCCTGCTACCAGTAGTTAACCAGTTAAAAAATCGTTATTATCCTGAGCCTGTGTGAAAAAATATTTCAGAAACAGTATACAGGCAGTCCCCGACTTACGCGGATCCGCCTTACGTCGGATCCGCAGTTACGAACACGGCTTTTCTCGCCCCGGAGGACACGGACTGCAGGACCTCGTGGCCCCGCCGCCGGTGTACTCCGGGGCGAGAAAAGCTGCTCCCCCCCCCCCAGCAGACCAGGGAGACGCGGAGCAAAGCTGCTCTGCCCCGGGTTGCTCTGCCCCGGGCTTCCTGGATTCAGCCGCTGATCAGTTTCAGCAGTGGCTGACTTGGGGACACCTGGGGTAGAGCAGCTGGGGTGCTGCCGGGTTGGTCCCCACAGCACTGAGGTGCGGCGCTGCAGAGACCTACCTGGCAGTGCTCCAGCTGTTCTGTCCCAGGCGTCCAAATTCAGCCTCTGTTGAAACTGATCAGCGGCTGCGTCCAGGAAGCCCAGGGCAGAGCAACTCTGACTCGGGCTTCCTGGGGTCAGCC